AATATATATATATATAAGGAAGGAAGGAAGGAAGGAGGTAGGTGGGTAGGGAGACGAGGGAGCAGGAGCGTCCTTCTTCCTTCTATTACCTACTATAGATCTTTTTATACACTAATTATATATTTATTTACTATAATAGACATAATAAAAGAATAAAATAAATAAAAAGGAAGAATTAAATAAGAAATATATAAAAAAGGGGAAAAAGTGCATGCATATATATATTAATGCATGCATGCATGCGCATGCATGCATAATTGGTGGGTGAATGGGGCTGTTTCCCCACGGGGTAAATAGAGGTAATAAATGACCATATTTGTTCATTTTTTTTGGATAAAATAGAATAAAAGTATAAAATAAATTAAATAATTAATAATTTAAATAAAATAAGACAATGGTTGCTCACGAAGGTGGTGGTTGCTGTGGGGGTCATGATGACCATCATTCTGCGCATGCAGAAGAAGGTGCCTATACACCCCAAGTAGATAATAGTCCTCCGCATGCAGAAGGAAGTAATATTAATATAACTGAAGATGGAGGAGTAATTAAACATGTTCTTGTTGCAGGAACAGGGGAAAGGTCAGTATTTATGTGTATACACACACAGTAATATATATGTATGTATGTATGTATGTATGTGTATATGTGTACCTTATTTACACACCTGTATCCATGGATGCATGCATTTAATAGATAAATAAGATAAATATAATATTATTTATGTATTTATTTATTTGCTTATTTATTTATCTTCTTATTTATTTATTTATTTATTTATTTATTTTATTGGGGTGTATATGCAGGCCTCCTAAGGGGTATGAGGTGGAGGTACACTACGTAGGCAAATTAGAAGATGGCACACAATTCGATTCATCCAGTAAGCAGCAGCAGCAGCAGCAGCAGCAGCAGCAGCAGCAACAGTAGCAGCAACAGCAGCAGCAGCAGCAACAACAACAACACCACCATAAACAACACTAGCAACAACACCACCACTAGCAGCAGCAACACCACGAACACCACCACCAGCACCACCACCACTAGCAGCAGCACCACCACCACTAGCAGCAACAGCAGCAGCAACAGCAGCAGCAGGAGCAACAGCAGCAGCAGGAAAATAAATGAATATATATATTTTTTGTATACAGGAGACAGAGACGCATCATTTCGTTTTGTGTTGGGGGAAGGACAAGTTATTAAAGGTTGGGATTTAGGTGTTGCAACTATGAGTGTTGGAGAAAAATCTATGCTTGTAAGGGTTTAGGGTTTAGGGTTTAGGGTTTAGGGTTTAGGGTTTTAGGGTTTTTGGGTTCTTTTAGGGTTTTATTGGGTTTTATTGTGGATATGTTGGATAGTTCATTAGGGTTTATATTTGTTGATCAATATCTAACATATCTAGGGTTTAGGGTTTAGGGTTTAGGGTTTAAGGTTTAGCTAGGGTTTACTGTTCTTTTTTTTCTTGTGGTCTTGGGGTGTATAGACAATTCAACCTTCTTATGGATATGGCGAGGCAGGCGCAGGCGGATCTATACCACCTAATGCAACATTAAAGGTAAGAAATATTTAATCAAATAATTAGGGTTTAGGGTTTAGGGTTTAGGGTTATGTATCCAAGAATTGTTATAAAGGTATATATATCTACATATATATATGTATAATTATTAAATTATTTAGTGTTTATTTTTCCCTCCATTCTTCTATTCTATTCAATAAATCAATAAAGAAAAAAATATATATAAAAAAAAAATTAGGGTTTAGGGTTTAGGGTTTAGGGTTTAGGGTTTAGGGTTTAGGGTTTATATATATATATTTGTGTTCAGTTTGAAGTAGAATTATTAAGTTTTCGTCCAAAGCCAAAAGCTCGATGGGCAATGTCTGTAGAGGAGAAGATTCAATCAGCATTAGATGAGAAAGAAAAAGGGAATAATTATTATAAAAAAAAAAATATAAATGAGGCATTAGCTGCATATAAGGAGGGTTTATCTTATCTAGATCATGCAGATCAATGGACAGAACAACAACAAATACATAAAAATTCTGTTGAAGTTTCCTTAAGACTTAATCTATCCAAGTAGGGTTTTATAATTATTTAGGGTTTAGGGTTTAGGGTTTATGAGGGTTTAGGGTTTATGAGGGTTTAGGGTTTATGAGGGTTTAGGGTTTGGAGGGTCGTGATGTTGAATATTGATAAATATATATCTTTTTGTAGATAAATAAATACTTTTTATGATTCTTTTTATTTATTTTATTTTATTTTATTATTATTGGGGCTTTTTTATCCTTTTTTTGCATGCATTTATACCCTTTTTCCTTTTTTTTTTTTCTGCATGCAGTTGCTACCTTAAGACAGGAGAATTTGCACAAGCTATTGATGAAGCATCTGCTGCAATTAAGCTTGATGAGGTAAACACCTTTATTCTTTTTTATTTATTCTTTTTTTATTTATTCTTTTTCTTTTCTTTTTATTTATTCTTTTCTTTTTCTTTTTCTCCTTTTTCTTCTT